GGGAACCCGCAGGGGCCCGGGAACCGTCCTCGCACAGGAGGGCCCCCCCCCCACGCCCAGGAGGCCTCCCAAACAGAAGCCCTCAGGGTGCCCCCGCAGGCAGCGAGAAGCCCGGAAGAGGCTCCCAGAGGGCCACCCCCGATGCCTCCCAGAGGTCCCCAAAAGGGCCCCCCAAAAACAGAATTCGCCGCCCGGCTACATCCCACACCCTTCTCCAGAGGGCAGAGAATCCACCCCGATAGTGAGCACCCCGACAAGCGAAGCCGTTTAGTGAACGCACCCTGGAAGGCTTCGAACAGGTCAGGGCTGCTCAGTAAACGCCCAAGGCCGCTTAATAGACGCCCATTGTCGGGTCCGGGTGGTTCTGACTCCCTTGATGTCTGGTCGACCCAAAAGGAGGTCCAGCTGAAAAGGGGTGGTGCAATAGATTTGGGGCAAATGTATTGCAATCGCATTGCGCCGGGGAATTGTATGACATTGTTTTGCAATTTTTTTGTTGCACGCAAAAATCCAGCAATACATTTGCGCCCTGGAATGTATGGCACGCCCCTAACCTATTGCAACCCCACAGATCTATTGCACGAAATCTATTGCACCACCCCCGTGTCTTTGGACCCCCGGTTGGATCAACCCGATTCGGTCCCCAAGTCGACTTCCAGAGGACGCCCAAAACGAGCTCAGACTCCGTCCAGACCGCTCCCAAGGCGCTCTCGGGCAACCGCTCGGCTCCACTCTGGCCCCGTCGGGGGCCCTCCCGGCATCGACGCCTCCTGGGCCCTCCGGAGCGCCTCTCGGGCCCAGCTTCGCCCACAGCCTGGAAGCTTCAGCACACGGCAAGTTCCGCAAGCTTCTGATCATTAGAGTCTCGCCGAGGGTCGCCCAAGCGCCTGTTCCGGCTCTCTTTCGGGCTCGTCTTGAGCCTTTTTCACAATGTCAGCGTTTTCTCATTCGGCGTTTCGACTTTGGGCGGAAGGGGGGTGGGAGGGCGGGGGTCTGGCTCTGGACCTCTGCTTGGTGCGACGGTTTGCAACAATGCATCCTATGGGGAAGGCTCCACCTGCTTGAAACAGGCGCCAAAAACAGCCAAGATCTACTCCGTGGGGGGGAGGGGGGTGCAAGGGCCTGCGTCGATCGGCAACACAATGAATAAGAAAACGATCACATTGCAAATTTGGATGTCGTTTTCGGACGCGCTCGAGGACCAAGTTTGAACGAATCTGGGCCTAACTTGGGGCCCCAAAACGAAGCCCAAACGGCCCTGTTTGGATGGCAGCTCGGACGAGGCTGTGGCCCAGCATGGGGCTGCTCCTTCTCTGGAGCCTGTTCGGGTGGATCAGGAGCAAATATTAAATCGGGCATGTCCCTTTACAAGAGGAAAGTTCAAAAATAGAAACAATTAGTGTGGGGACGTTTTTGTTCGACTACTTTTACTATGTTTGAGTATGGTTTGACAATGTTTCATTTGTCTTCCAAAATCCGCCTGTAGGAGGACATGCCCGACTTAAAGCAAAGATCCAGAGAGACAGCGTCCATGTCACTGATCCGTTGGTAAGGGTGCTGGGTCGACAACACATAACCCAACTGGATCATTTATCAATCACACAGCATAACTACCCGAGTCCAACGGGCGATGGGATGGAGAAAAAATATAGCGCGAGAAAGAATTACAAAACGCACCTCCGGGCCTCCTTTGACTTGTTGCAGAAATGTTGTCATCCGTTTCGGAGCAGTCTTCGCTGGAATGGGCGGGCGGTGAACGTGAAGCGTCTCGAATAAGAGCGGCGGACTCCATCACGACGATGCATTGGGTTGGACTGGACCAGGTGGACGAAGAGGACGACAGGCGGGGGGGGAGGCAGAGAAGGGGGGAAGAGGGAGGGAGCAAAGAGCCCTCCTCCTCCTCCTCCTCCTCCTCTTCTTCCTCCTCCTCCTCCTCCTCCTGCTCCCTCCTCCCCGTCCCCGTCGTTCCCCCTCCTCCTCCTTCTCCTCCTCGCTCCTCTGCGTGCTCCTCCTCCTCCCTCGTCGTCCTCCTCCTCCTCCCTAACTCAACAATCCTCGCCTGATCCCCCCCTTCCTCCTGCAGGGCAGGGGCGGGGGCGGAGGGCTGAACCTGGTATGGCGGGGGAACGGCGACGAGGGAGGACGGGCTCCAGGAGAGGGGGACCATTGAAGGGGCCCAAGGACGCACTCATGAATACGCACGAACAAAAAGATCCCCTCATGTTTTCCCATATGTTCTGGGTTGGTTGCCTTCCCGCCCAACTCCCATACTTTCCCACATTTTCTTGGGGATCGACGATGAGTTGTGTCTGTGTGTTTTTCCCCTCCTGAACCATTGACGTAGAGTCGGACACCGCCGACAGGTCGACGACGGGCCCTCGACGGCAAAACCGCGCGCCCCTGGGCGGAGAAGGGGCACGCGATGGCGCGAGAGACTCTCTGTGGACCCCCCCGGAGCTCCCTCGGCGAGGGGCAGCTGCTGGACGGCTTTGGGCGGGCCAACAGCCCACCATCGCTGCCATAGTATAGGCCGGGGGAGAAGGATGGGGAGGTCCTCCTCCTCCTCCTCCTCCTCCTCCTCCTCCTCCTCCTCCTCCTCCTCCTCCTCCTCCTCCTCCTCCTCCTCCTCCTCCTCCTCCTCCTCCTCCTCCTCCGTCTCCTCCTCCTCCTCCTCCTCCTCCGTCTCGTCCTCCTTTTCATCCTCTCTCTCTATCTCTCTCTCTCTCTCTCTCTCTCTCTCTCTTTCTCTTCTGCCGATGGTAGCGGTCGTAGAAAATCGGCCCATCAGCTCTCCAAGGCCTCCAGGCCATCCCCGCCCCCCCCCAGGCCGTTGCTCCGCAACGGCTGGCTTGGCGACCGCGAGCCTGGCCGAGGGGCTCTGGATTGGACCAGGCCGCCGTGCTGGGGGGCGAGACGCTGCCGCTGCCGATGTTGATTAACATTAATAACTCGGGTCTGTCCTCCTACAGGGGGATTTTGGACGAAAATAAAGAATCATCCAAATACCCCAAAATTGTTCAAAAATACTCGAAAATTGTCCCCAGGCAATTTTACTATTTTTGAATATTCCTCCTTTGGAGGGACAGGCACGATTTAAGATTAATATTGCCATCACGTTCCGATCCGGACTTTCCGACCCAAGCCGGTGTCGATATTCATCCGACGTTCTTTAATCGGCGCCACGCCAAGGAGGGGGGAGAACAGCGCCGAACCAAGAAACCCGCGCGGACCTCTGGAGGCCGAATTACCTTTATGGCACCACTTGTTTCCCGAGTCTGTTCCCCAAGAGGCCTCCTAGAGGGGGCTCGAGTAGATGGGGTCGGGGAATCGGCGATGCATCGGCGATCCATTGGCGATGCACCGGCGACGTCGGCGATGCATGGCCACTCCCCCGGACATCTCCCGGGATGCGCTCTGACCAGCCGTGGCGACGAGGGATGGGCTGGCGGCATTGATAGATGCTCCTCCTCTGAGATGTTTCTCCCCCCCCCCGAGCCAGTTCGCTTCGGACGGGCCCAAACTCAAGGTGAATCCGCTCCGGGGCGTTCGGGAACGCTCTCGCAGCGCTCCGCAACGCTCTGAAACGGCCGTGGCGCCCGATGCACCCTCCGAACCCGTCGATCCTCTGAGGTTTCGATTCTGTCTCGATTCTGTCTCGATTCTGTCTCGATTCTGCCTCGATTCTGCCTTGATTCTGTCTCGATTCTGTCTCGATTCTGTCTCGATTATGTCTCGATTCTGCACTCGTCTTGTCGCTGCCCCCGAGGGACGAGCTGCACCTGGCGGAGCTTCAGAAGGAGTCGGCGGCGAGCGAGGGGGGAAGTGCGAAGGAGAAGGCCTTCTCAGAAGCCTCCGAAGTCCCCGGGCCTTCTGGGAGGTTTTCTGCGCCTTCCTCGAAGACACAAAACACTTCTCAGAAGGCGCGAGGGCTTCCGAGAGAAGTCCCGCCACCTTCTGAGAAGGCGTTCTCCTCATCGCTCCTCGATGATCCTCAGAACGTGTGTCAGCGCGAGCATGTGCTTGTCCGCCGGAGCCGTCTCAGCACGACGCAGGAGGTGTGGATGAGCGTCATCGGCGGAGCTGAACCAGGGTGAGCCCACACTCGGCCAGCACCGGGGGCGCGCAAACATGGATTATTGATCCATGGATTTGCCGCGCGGTCGCCAAATCCATGGATCGGGGGAGGTGCCCTCCCCCAACTGCGGCCAATGCCGCCTCGCTCGGCGGCGGTAATCCGCGACTCCCCATGGAAACGGGACCCGTCGCGAATCCACGCCCCCTTTGGTCCATGTTTGCGATCGCCTGACAACACACGTCCCGAGGATCATCGAGCTTCCCTTAGGTTGGGCATGTCCCCCTACATGCGGATTTGGGACGAGAAATAAAAAACACACCTAACATACTCGAACGTAGTCCACAATAGTCCAAAAATCGTCCCCAGACGATGTGTTGACCATCTTTGAAGATTCCCCCTGTAGAGAGACAGGCCCGACTCAAAGCTTCCCCTTCCTCGCTCGCCGCCGCGAGGAAGGTAGGGAACCGAACTCTGTACACCGACGCTCCTTCCGGCCCTGCATTGGCATCTGCACTGGCGAGCGGATCTTGGTGCATGCGGGACCCTGGTGTATACGTGTTTCGCTGTTTCCCCGGAACATCGGGGAAAAACGTGTACACCACACCACCCCAGCGTCGTCCTCGACCCTCGAGGAGTCCTGGAATTGAAAAACAGCCCGCCACTGGTGATGTATATGTTCCAGTTTCCGACTTCAGAGGAAAGAGAAGTATGAAATACACCGATTCTGGCCAGGACCATCCTGAGCCCAGGATCGGTGCATGCGCCCTCCTACCTTGGCCAGGAAGGCAGATGCACCGATCCTGGGTCGAGGATGGGCGTTGCCAGGATCGGTGCATGTGCGTCGTTCTCTTCGCCCGAGACTTAAAACGCTTCCCCCACCTCGCTCGCCGCCGCGAGGAAGGGGGCCCCCTCCCCGGGACGCGTCCTGGGGCCCGCGCGCCTCGCGCCCCGCGCGCCGGGGCCCGGACCTGCCGCGCAGGGGGGCGGGGAGAGGCCGCGCTTGCGGGGCCGCGCACGCGCGCAGGCCAGGGGCCACGGGCTCCCAAGGGTGAATCCGCACGCTCCTGGGCAGGCTGGGGCTATCGGGCCCCCATCGGCGATCCATTGGCGATTGGGGGTCGATGCGTCCCCCCCTGTGCGTATCCCCCCTGTCGTTGCCCCTGACCAACTGCCGCTCGGGCGAAGGGGCACTCGGCCTTCGTTCCCTAACTCGGATCTCTGGCGGACGTCCGGGATGATCAAGGGCTCCCAACTTCGCGCTTCGCGCTGCGCGAAGCGCGAAGCGCGACTAACTTCGCGCGCTCGCAGCCGCCTCCCAGGGGAGAAGAGGAGGGTGAGGAGGAGTCGGAGCCGAGGCGCAAAGCGCGAAGCGAGAATGACTTCGCGCCCTCGAGGGCGCCTTTGGGGGCGAGGGGCAGATTTCGGTAGCAAATCATGGGAGCCTGGTCTGCCCTCGTAATGCCGTCTTTAGCGTCGACTAGCGTCGATTAGCGTCTGGGAGTCGATGAGATAGCGCCGATGTAGCGTCGGCCAGCGTCGATTAGCGTCGATTCAGCGTCGACCAGTGTCGATTCGCAAGAGCCGACAAGATGGTGCGGCAGGTGTCCGCAGCTCTCGGGCGGGAGGTCACCAGGGGGTGGCCCACATCAGGGAGCCCACAAAGGACGTACGCGCCCAACTATGTACATGACCTCGGCCCCATGACCCGCGAGACCGGCCGCGTGATACGAACATTCGCGCAAGGCGAACTCTCGAAACCTACGTGGATTCATGTACGTGTACGTCACTCTCTTTCGCTCCTGACACATCGGGGGGGTGAAGAGAAAGGCCCTGCCGTCGAGGTTGATTGGAGAGGACACGCGAGAGGACGCAAGACCCTTCCGAGGGCCACGTTGCCACAAAGAGTGTCGAGGGCACGGGTCGCGAAGCACGGGACGCAAGGGCACCCTCGACTTGGCAGGGTCGACCTACCGATCCGCCTCGACTGTGGAGGGGCCCTCCGGGCCTCCTTTGAGGCACCAGCTGGCTCTGGAAAGGGCCCCAAGGAGCCCACTGCTCTTACGGCCGGCCCGTCTCAGAAGGATGCGCGATACAGATGGGCGCCCATTTCGAAGCTTTTCGAGCGGAGCGCGGCTAAGGAAATTGGCGTTGGATGGGCCGAGGAGGCAAGGATGCAAGGGTACCCTTGGGAAGGTGGCCCATCCTTTTACCATGCGGGTTGACTGTACTGTCACTGCGCCGCGGAACCGGGGTAAGGAACCCCAATGTGAGCGTTTTCTTATTCGGCGTTTCGACATTGGGCGAAGAGGGTGGGAGGGGGCGGGGTCTGGCTCCGGACCTCTGCTTAGTGCGACTGCTTGCGACAGTGCGTTCTGTGAGGGGAGGCTCCACCTGCTCGAAACAGGCGCCAAAAAACACGCAAGATCTACTCCAGCGGAGGGGGAGGGGGGGGGGGTGCGAGGGCCCGCGCCGATCGGCAAAACCATGAATAAAAAAAACGATCATCATGGCGAGAACGCGGAAGTCGTGATTCAGAAGCAGGTTGGAAGTCGGTGCTTTCTGCCATTTGAGGCCGTCGTGGATGTTCTAGAGGCCTCTCCAGCGCGTCGGAGCCCTTCTCGAGTTACCGAAGGGGCCCAAGAACAAACAAATAAACACACATCCCAGGATGTCCCATCTTTTCCGTCTTATCTGAATGGTCGTCTTCCCCTGCACGTTCCCATATGTTGCATATGCTCCTGGGGATCGACGAATATTTGTGTCTGCGTGGTGTTTCCCCTTCTGAGTTACCGTCAATCCTTCGCCGACGGCGACGACGCCGACGCCAACGACGCCAACGCCGCCGCCCGCCGCCGCCGCCACCATCGTCGTCGTCACCACCATCGTCGTCGTCGCCGACGTCGTCCTCGTCGTCGTCGTCGTCGTCGTCGTCGTCCTCGTCGTCGTCGTCCTCCTCCTCGTCATCGTCGTCCTCCTCCTCGTCGTCCTCCTCCTCGTCGTCCTCCTCCTCCTCCTCCTCCTCTCCCTCCTCGTCGTCGTCCTCCTCCTCCTCATCGTCGCCCTCCTCGTCGTCGTCCTCCTCGTCGTCGTCGTCCTCACCGTCGTCCTCCCCGTCGTCGTCGTCGTCGTTGTCGTCGTCCTCGTCCTCCTCGTCGACCAGCGCTGCTCCTCGCAACGGAGGGCGCCGACGCCCCCGGTTTCGCGGCGGCTGAGCGTCGCTGGCCGCGGTCAGGGAGCGCGCCACCACGAGGAACGCCAGACGTCCGCGGGGGCCGCCGCCGAGGGGCCCGGGCCCGGAGACTATGCTGGCGGCGAGCGCGGAGGGGAAGCGAGAAGGCTTAGGTCGGGCATGCCCCACTGCAGGGGGATTTAGGACGAAAATTCGAAATAGCTCCCCAAAAAATACAGAAGTACTTCAGAAAATCGTCCCCTGACTATTTTTGGATCATTTCTGAATATTCCTCCTGTGGAGGGACACGCCCGTCTTAAGAGAAGGCGTGCCTGCTCCCTTCCCCCCCCTCGCTCGCCGCCGGATCGTGTCCTTCTGCGCCCGGAGGGGCCGCGATTCCCGAGAAGACGGCGGCGGCCACGGCCACGGCCACGGCGGCAGCGGCGGCGCAGGCGGCGGTCACGGATTGAGGGCGGTTTCTTTTCAAAATGTGGCTCTTGCCTTAGCGCCGCGCATACTTGTCTTCAATATTTGCAAACGTGCAAGAGACTCACTGATGATCATGGCTAACGTACCAGAAATGATGTTATTGGAGCGATTCCGGATTGTCAGGGTGCAACAGTTACGTTGACTCGCGGTGCTGAAGTCCCAGGAATTGTCTTGTGGCACGATTCAAAATCGTCAGCACGCAACAGCCAGGTTGACGCGTGGAAATGTGTGATTTGTTACGCTTCCGAGTCTTCACGCGGTTGTCCCCCAACGGGGCACTTCCCTCAGTGGGAATAAATCCTTGTAGGGGCCTGTGAAGAGGAAGCTTGGAGGGAGAGGGCATTCCAACATCGTTAATGAGTCCTGCGTTTCCACTGGCCTGCTTCCTATTCCTCCTCCTCCCTCCTTCTCTCCCCCTCCTCCTCCTCCTCCTCCTCCTCCTCCTCCTCCTCCTCCTCCTCCTCCTCCTCTTCCTGCCTCCTCCTCCTCATCTGCCTCCTCCTCCTCCTTCTCCTCCTCCTCCTCCTTCTCCTCCTCCTCCTCCTTCTCCTCCTCCTCCCACTTCTTCTCCTCCTCCTCCTCCTCCTCCTCCTCCTCCTCCTCCTCCTCCTCATCATCATCATCATCATCATCAGCAGCAGCAGCAGCAGCATCATCAGCATCATCATCAGCATCATCAGCATCATCATCATCATCATCATCAGCAGCAGCATCATCATAATCATTATCATCATCATCAGCAGCAGCAGCATCATCAGCATCATTACCACCACCATCAGCATCATCACCAGCAGCATCATCAGCATCAACATCATTATCACCAGTATCACAAGCATCAGCATCATCAGTATCAGCATCATCATCATCATCATCATCATCATCATCAGCATCATCATCATAAGTATCATCAGTATCATCAGCAGCCGCATCATCATCAGCATCATCATAATCATCATCACCACCACCAGCATCATCAGCAGCAGCATCATCCGCATCGCCGTCGTCGTCATCAGGTTAACCATCGCCATCATTATCACCATCATCAGCATCAGCATCATGATCACAGCTGTCAGAATCATCATCATTATCAGCATCATCGTCACCAGCATTCGCACCATCAGCATAAGCATCGTCATCACCATCATCTGTATCGGCATCAACATCAGCATAATCCTCAGCAGCAGCATCAGTATCAGCATCCGCACCATCATCGACATCATCAGCATCAGCATCAGCATCAGCATCATCATCAGCATCATCAGCAGCAGCAGCATCAGCATCCTCGTCCTCTCCTGGGGCGGCCGTCCGACTAGTTACGGACCTGCCGCGGAGCGCATCGTCACGTCCATGTCGCTGGAGCGCACCGACGCCGAGGGCGACGCGGCCTGCCTCCGAACGAAGGCAAAGCGGGCGGCCCCATGAACATTAACCTCCTCCTCCTCCTCCTCCTCCTCCTCCCCCTCCTCCTCCTCCTCCCCTCCTCCCCTCCTCCCTCCTCCTCTCCTCCTCCTCCTCCTCTCCTCCTCCTCCTCCTCCTCCTCCTCCTCCTCCCTCCTCCTCCCTCCTCCTCCTCTCCTCCTCCTCCTCTCTCCTCCTCCCTCCTCCTCCTCCTCCTCCCCCTCCTCCTCCTCCTCCTCCTCCTCCTCCTCCCTCCTCCTCCTCCTCTCCTCCTCATGTTCCTCCTCATCCTCCTCCTCCTCGCCTCCTCCTCATCCTCTTCCTCCTCATCCTCCTCCTCCGCCTCCGCCTCCGCCTCCTCATCCCCTCCACCTCTGCCTCATCCTCCTCCTCGACCTCTGCCTCCTCCTCCTCCTCCTCCTCCTCCTCGACCTCTGCCTCCTCCGCCTCGCCTCCTCCTCCAACTCATCCTTCTCCTCCTCTCCTCCTTGACCTCTGCCTCCTCCTCCTCCTCCATCTCCTGCTCCTCCTTCCCCTCCTCCTCCTAGTCCTCCTCCTCGTCCTCCTCGTCCTCCTCCTCCTCCCTCCTCATCCTCCTCCTCCTCCTCCTCCTCCTCCTCCTCCTCCTCCTCCCCCTTCCTTCTTCTCCTCCTCCTCCTCCTCCTGAGCGGTCAGGTCAGGTCAGTAGCCGTGCCCCTGTAAGACGCGTGGGCAGGAGCAAATGGATCATTGCAAGACCCACGCTTGCCTTGGTGGAGTGCCTGCCGTGGCCCTGGACATCAAGACCCTCCAAAATGCGAGCGTGCGGGGCCGAAAAACGAAACGCATCACGACTGTCACGCAAATCCGCGTGAACATAAACTGACGAAGGTCCTCGCGGAGGGGATCGAGGGGAGACCCTGGGGGGGAGAGGGCCAGAGGGTGAGGATAATGGAGACTGAGGGGGCGAAGGACGAGGAGCACGATGGGGAGGACAAGAGAGAATAGAGGAGCAAACAAACCAAACATCCATTGTCGAAGACCTGCAATGAGTTCATAGGCGCCGGACCCTCGGGCGGCGCCAGAGGCGACGCGGGTGGACGGTCCAACGCCGATCCGCACAGACCTACGACGGCCTGTGTGTGCCGATGCTTCTTTCGGGGACACACTGGCCCGGATCAATACAAACCCGGGTCAGTCGGGCTTTGCAGGATCCTGCAAGATCCTGCAGGGTCCTGCAGAATGCTTCGCGTGAACCTGGGTAAATGCAGCCCTGGCTTTGCAGGATCTTGCAAGTTTCGGCGCTCTGGCTGACCCCTGTTTGAATTGACGTCCCTTGAGCCCCGAGTAGGGGGAACCAGAGGAAGGAAATGGATGTGGCGAAAAGGGGTGTGGTGCCAATGCTGAATTAGGCGATGTTACCCATCGTAGATAGCATCTCCATTTCCACGATTGGCACCAAACCCCTTTATGTCACATCCCTTTCCTACCTCCAGAAAACTGTACCGATACCGCTACTTCCCAGACCTCTCCAGAGGTGTGTTCTGACCAGGACTTCGAGGCGAATCCAGCGGCGACAACGATGGCCTCCGAGGAGGCCCAAGAGAAAGGAGAACGAGAGAAGGGCAGCGAGAGGGGTAGTTTTCCTGCTCCGACGATTGTTTCGGAGATCTGCTTACCCAGGTCAATCTAGACCCGGGTCAGTTAGGCCTTGCAACATCCTGCAGCATCCTGCAGGGTCCTGCACCCAAACCCAGGTCAATGCACCACTGGCTCTGCAGAGTCCTGCTGGATCCTGCGCCCTGTCACAGCGACCGTGGCCTTGCAGGATCCTGCAAGATCCGGCGCTCTGGCTGACCCCCGTTTGCATTAGGTCGGGCATATCCCCCTACAGGCGGATTCTGGAAGAAAGATGAAAAATTGTCGAAACATTATCCAAAATGGTTAAACATGAAAAACACATCGACCAAAGACTAATTTCCCAAACCATCCTGTGGTGTTGGGTCCTCGGTTTGAAGAGACAACACCCCGCGTTCACTCCTCTTTCCTCTTCTTCCCCCTCCTCCCTCCTCCCATGAGCATCACCCATGTCGGTACACCCCTCACACGCTTCGTGGCCCCATAGGGAACTCCATCGAAGGTCCCAATGGCTGGGTTCGCATGCGGTTTCACTTACATGTGGGCACACCCTTCACGCGTTTCGTGGTCCCAGAAGGAGCTCCACCGAAGGCCCCGGTGGCTGCGTTCGCATGCGGTTCTACCCCCCCATTTCGGCACACCCCTCACACGTTTCGTGGCCCCATAGGGAACTCCACCGAAAGCCCCAGTGGCTTCGTTTGCATGCGGTTCCAACCCCCATTTCGGCACACCCCTCACACGTTTCCTTGGTTTTTCTTCGGAGGAGCTCCCATAGGGAGCTCCACCGAAGGCCCCTGTAGCTGCGTTCGCATGCGGTTTCACCCCCCATTTCGGCAAACCCCTCACACGTTTCGTGGCCCGATACGGAGCTCCACCGAAGGCCCCAGTAGCTGCGTTCGCATGCGGTTCCACCCCCAATTTCGAACACCCTTCAAACGTTTCGTGGGCCCACAATTCGCATGCGGTTTCACCCCCCCATTTCGGCACGCCCCTCAAACGAGTCGTGGCCCCATAAGGAGCTCCACCGAAGGCCCCAGTGGCTGCGTTCGCATGCGGTTCCACTTCCCTTTCGGCACACCCCTCACACGTTTCGTGGCCCCATAGGAAACTCCACCGAAGGCCCCAGTGGCTGCGTTCGCATGCGGTTCCACCCCCCATTTCGGCACACCCCTCACACTATTCGTGGCCCCACAAGGAGCTCCACCGAAAGCACAGTGGCTGCGTTCGCAAGCGGTTCCACCTCCTCTTTCGGCACAACCCTCACACGTCGCCTGGCCCCACAGGGAGCTCCACCGAAAGCCCCAGTGGCTGCGTTCGCATGCGGTTCCAAGCCCAATTTCGGCACACCTCTCGCACGCTTCGTGGTCTGAGGCGGCACCGCCGAAGGCCGCAGCGACAGGTTCCGCATGTCGGTGCCGCCCCATTTCTGCACACCCCTCGAACGCTTCGTGGCCCCATAGGGAACTCTACCGAAGGCCCCAGTGGCAGGGTTGACATGGCGGCGCCGTGCCGATGTCGGGACACCCCTCGCGCAGATCGCACCCCAGAGGGTGCGTCCCACATGGTTTCTGTGGACGAAGGTTCCCGGAAATGTCCAAGCAGTTCGGACCAGGATGAGAAAAGGATTAATAGGATGATGAAGCTGATAAGGATGCGACCAGGAGGACAACTCCATACGATGATGATGGTGATGGTGATGATGATGGTGATGATGATGCTGTTGATGATGACGGTGATGATGATGATGATGATGATGATGATGATGAAGGAAGGATGAGGTTCAGGGGGACGAGCGGGCCGCGCATCCACAACAGGGTAAGGATACAAGCGGGAGGGCGAACACATGGTTCTCTTTCTAACTCCTCGCCACTGCTGCGTTTGCATCCTCCCCCCTCCTCGTTTTCCTTCTCCTCTTCCTCGTCCTGTTTGCTCGAGTAGTGGATATGTATGTGGCAGTTGTGTCCATGTTGCGTTCAAGCCATCCGCTGCAAGTAATATGAACCACCGTGGCGCGCTCCCTGGCCCCACCCGGTGTCTAGAATTACTAAGCGATGGGGTGTCCTCAAGGGCATGGTCTTGAACCGGAACGGACTCGACAATCCATATACATCGATGTGTTTTGTGTTGCTAACGTGACAATATCGTTTCGCGTCGTCGTTGTCGTCGTCGTCGCCGCCGCCGCTGTCGTCGTCGTCCTCCTCGTTGTCGTCCTCCTCCTCTTTTCTCCTCGTCGTTCTCGTCCTCGTCACCCTCTACATTCTCTGGTCTTTATCCGCCCAATCCTTTTCCCCCCTGCACTTTTCCACTTTGGCTACCCCATGCACCACCTCCGCGCTAACTGACCATCTCCTCGCTGATTTGCAAGGGGGCCCCCGTAGGCCCTGACAAATATGGGGGAGGGACGATTATGGGGGAGGGATGTATCTTAGCATTTTGACCAGGAATTGGCGACAAAGTGTCGAATTTTGACATTCTGGGTCACCCGGACGGACTCCCCGCGCTCGCACGGCAGGGTCATCACCGTGGTGGCGTGCCACGGGCGCACCTTGCGAGACGGCGACGGGGCGAGGGAACGGCACCCCCAGGCAGTTTACAGCCGAACCTACTAGGCGCGAGCGGTCCGCAGCCAGACTATCTCTCGGTTCTGTGGACTCTCGCCCCTGCGCCGTCGGCTGTCCGTCGCGCTGCTCCCTCGGCCGACGTCGCCCAAGCGTGATCCTGGACTGCGGCCGCCACGAGGTCGGGAACGGCAAAGAGGAGGACGACGACTGATGGCTGGAGCTCTACGCGCTGCTCTCGCGCGCCAAGCGCCACGAGGACCTCCTGTTCATGCGGGCGCCGTGCATTCGGCTCTTCCTGACAGGGCCGCCGCAGGGCTTGCGGAAGCAGCTGGAACAGCTTGCGACGCGCACGAAGCGGTGCAGGAGGGAGGCGACGGCACTCGCAAGGGAGCTCGGCTTCACCGAGTTTATCCGCGAGGCCTGACCTGACGAACGTCCCGCCCGAGCCGCGCCTTCTCTTGGCTGTCCGACTGCTTGGCCTCGCGCCGCGGACGACCCGCGCGCGTCACTGGGGCCCTCTCGGGGCGACCACCGCGCGTCGCGCGAACTCCGCGCTGCGCTCTGCCCAGCGCCTCGCTCGCCCCTCGTCGCTCCGCCCAGCGGCCATAGCCATGCGCGCTATCAGTTAGCCAGCAAGCACCCTCTGCTCCGCACAGCGAACGAACCGCGCGCATCACTGGGACCCCTTCGGGGCGACCCGCGCGCGTTGCGGGTGCTCCGCGATGCGCTGCGCCCGCAGCCTTGGACTTTGGAGCGCGCGGGCAAACAGGAAGGAAAAAAAGGGGAGGAAGCGGGCGCGATCCTCGTGTGGGGCGTGCCGACATGGGCGTCGCGGCGCGCGGGCGCTGCCGTCGGGGTTCCCGGGGAAGCTCCCTGCGGAGGCTACGCTCAGTGTCACGGGTACTGAGAGTCAAGCAGAACCAAACCATTCACGAATCGTATACATTGACTTTCGGTGTATCCATGCTGGCATTCATGCAAATAGAATCAATCGCACGCATATTCATTCATAATCAGACTCACTCGCGCTTAGACTCGCCCGCGCTCCAGCTGTCATACTCAGACCTCTCGTTTTCGTTCGTGTTGCGTACCCCGCCACACATGTCGGCACCCCTCTCACACGGCTCGTGGCCCCTAGGGACCGCCACCGAAGAAGATATTCACAATTGCGGTACTCACAACTGCATATGGTTGGGTCCTTCGCCAGGCTGCTTTGACTAGTTCTGAATACTCCTCCTGTAGAGGGACAGGCCCGACTGAACGTTTGCACTGACCCCCGTCCCTTGAGCCCCCCGAGATTGTTGTTGGAATGCCTGATGGCCGGCCCGCAGCCGAAGAAGTCGAGGTACTCGAACTCCGCGGCCGACAGCCAGCCCGCGGCCGAGGCGTCCAGGGTGGCGAAGACGCGCCGGGCGGCGGGCGGGCCGAGGCCGAGCTCGGTGCCGACGATCCGCACGAACTCGACGCGGCTCACGACCTGCGGGGGCCGGGGGTCGTGTCCACGACGGAGGGCAGACCATCCACCCCCATAAGAAGAATCGCGGCCCACCACAGGGGGGGGTGAGGGGGGCCCTGAGGGGGGGGGGGGAGTTCGATCCGCTGGTGCATCGAACTTCCGAAAAACGATGCCCCCCGCGCGCCCCGATTGTCGACGCCTCTCGGGTTCCAGCGACGGCTGGAGACCTCGCTTCACATCGTTTTTCTGCGGTTCGATGCGCCCACGGACCGAACTCACCCCCGCCCTGTGGCGCTCCCCCTTTGCGAGGTCCCGAAAGAACCACTGAGCGTTTCTTATTCGGCGTTCCGGCATCGGGCGGAGAGGAGGGGGGGGAGGGGGGGGAGGGCTCTAGACCTCTGCTCAGTGCGACTGTTCACAGCAGTGCGCTCATGAACGGGGGAGACTCCACCTGCTCGAAACGGGCGCCAAGAACAGCCAAGATCTACTCCACGGAGGGCGGGGGAGGAGGGGGGGTGCGAGGGCCCGCGCCGATCGGCAAAACACTTTAAATAAATGATCACATCCATGAGCATCGTTTCGCCGATTCCTATCACCAATAGCGTTGCCTGGGCCCACTGGCCGACTTGCCCCCTCAGATGGGGATGCAGGCTGCTGCCTTCGGGTTTCGAAGGGCCCATCCCCAACTGGAGTAATGTGACGGTGCTGGGATTTGAAGATGCAAGGGTCGACACCGCTACTCCTCGGACCTCTTCCATTGCGCGTTCTGACCAGAATTGAATCCAGCGGTGGCGACGAGGATCGCCCAGAAGACCCCCAAAAACCGAAAACGAGGGAAGGGTAGCAGCATGGGTGCCTTTTCCTGCTGTGAGGTGGGGTTTCGACAAAATGGCCCGATGGGGATGAGGATAGGTTTAACGATGCTGAGTCCAAGTCCACGCCTGTCACCTAACTTCGCACATGGCGGCCCGCGATGCGCGGGTGTCTTCGCGCAACCGCGCCACCGATAAGCCGTAAGCATGGAGGGGCCTTTGAGGGCCATGTTGGCGTTCTCGAGCGGGGCTGGCCAGCGAAGGTCGCCAAAGATAGGCCGAAGGGGCAACGATGCAAAGGTAACCTTTGGGGAACCCAGGGGTACCGATACCGCTACTCCCCGGACCTCTCACGGGGTGCGTTCTGACCAGAATTTCGAGGCGATTCCAGCGTGGCAACGAGGGCCACCCAGGAGGCCCAAAAAGAGGAAAACAAGGACAGGGTGATTACACGGTGGGCACAATTTCCTCATCGAAGCCTTGGACAATTGCTCATTCTTATGTGTAACTTGATTAAATCAGATCCACGCCCGTCACCTAACCGTAGGTCGGGCATGTCCCCCTACAGGCGCATCGAGAAATCCGCCGGCCTCCTTGTGGGGCCAGCAGGCTGTAGGCCTAGTCTTCGCAGTTTCCTGTACCAGTTGCAGCTTCCAGCTTCCACTGTTACAGTTCTGCTTCTTGCTGCTTACTGTTCCTTGTAACAGTTCTGCTTCTTGCTGCTTACTGTTCCTTGTTGATGGACCGCGCGAGGGGGGGGAGGCCCGAAACGCGCATTTTTACCAGGGCCAAACCAAAACTATTGTCTGAATTGCTGGGGTGGGTAACAAAAACAAACCTCTCACGCAGATCGGCGGGGACAGGGTCCAAAAACACAAGGGATTTGCCACTTCTCTGAAATTCGGTGGCACCCCTCACGCAGATCGGCGGGGTCAGGGTCCAAAATCATATGGGATTTGCCACATTTCTGAAATCCGGTGGCACCCCTCACGCAGATCGGCGGGGTTAGGGTCCAGAACACAACGGATTTGCCACTTGTTTGAAATTCGGTGGCACCCCTCACGCAGATCGGCGGGGTCAGGGTCCAAAATCACATGGGATTTGCTGCATTTCTACAGATCGGCGGGGTGAGGGTCCAAAAACACAATGGATTTGCAACTTTTCTGAAATTCGATGGCACCCCTCACGCAGATCGGCGGCGTGAGCGTCCAAAATCACATGGGATTTGCAACATTTCTAAAAAAAAATCGGTAACCCCTCTCACGCAGATCGGCGGGGCCATCGTCCAAAATCACAAGGGATTAAACACAGGGGATTTGCCACATTTCTGAAATCCGGTGGCACCCCTCACGCAGATCGGCAGGGTCAGGGTCCAAAAACACAGGGGATTTGCCACATTTCTGAAATTCGGCGGCATCCCTCACGCAGATCCATAGGGTCAGGGTCGAAAAACAAACAGGTCCTGACACTGCTTCACCGCGAAGCCAAAGCCTCATGACGTCGCTCTTCCATGGCCCATTCTCCGAGAGAGGGGGCCAGCGGCAGGGGACGAAGCCCTTACGGATAAGAAAAACTCAAACAATGCTCAAAAATAGTCCAAAAATAGTTGAAAATCCTTCCCACACTATTGATTGACCATGTTAAAAAATTCCTCCTGTGGAGGGACATGCCCGACTCAAACCCAACCTCGCTCTTCGCGTCCTGCGATGCGCGCGCGCATCTTCGCACAAAACCGCGCCCTCGACCCGGCTCCTACAGTGGAGGCCAGTCCACAACCTTCCACAAGAAGCCCAACCCTGAGACCCCAAGACGTCCATCGATTTTTGGTGTGGGAACATCACACTTTCCATAGCAAAACCATCGAAACCCAAGGAACCCAAGGCGCCCTGGAGGCAAGCAGGGTGTTTATTGGCATCAGCCTCCACCGCATTTGAGAGAGGCAGATGCTCTGGCACAGGCCACGACGAGCGAGGCGCGCTCGTCTTTGCGCCTTTTCGCGGGCGGCCCGGGGCCGGGTGCTGCTGGAAGTGCCCCAAGCGTGAGGGGCAACGATAGGGGGGGACAAGCAAAATTAGGGGGGAGTGCATCGACCTGGAATCGGCGATTCATCGCCGATAGATCGCCGATATTCCCCCGATAGTGAGTCCGCACCTTCCTGTGCAGGTTGGGGTTATTGGGCCCCCATCGGCGATCAATGGGCGATTGGGGGTCGATGCGTCCCCCCGTATGCCTATCCCCCCTATCGTTGCCCCCAATGGCGAGCTTGGGCAACGAGCACTTCTAGCAACCTGCAAGGACTCCCAAGGACCTCCCCCGCACGACACAGGAGCCCACAGGACACCCAAGTGCCCACAGGACTTCCAAGGAGGCCTCCACGGCCTCGAGAGCACCCCACACGAGGCCACGAGGGCCCCCCCGACAGGGGCTGGACACCGAGGCGCGCTCCCCTGGATGTGATCCGCGCTGGGTATCCGCGCAGAGCAGCCGTGCATCCATGAGGGCCGCGGACGAAGAGCCCGGACGGCGTGGCCGTGGATATGGATATGTATCCCTTTCGCCCAACACGACCCCCGTGCCCTCCGGGTCAAGGGCCTCGTCCCACATCTCTCCGAGGGTGCCAAACCTGGAACGTGCCAGAATCACACGCCTGCACCGATCCTGATGTCCTGGCCAGGCTCATCCTGGGCTTGGGATTGGCTCATACCCCACTCTGGCCTGGCCAGGAAGGCTCGAGAGAGGTGGTTATGCGCAGACACCTGGCGGTGTGATTCTCTGGGTGCGGGCCCTTCCACCGACGAGGAGCCCCATGGGCCAACAACAAAAACAAAAAAAAACGCCACGACCAAAAAGGAACCGCACACGCACAATCACACGTAGTAGGATGCCTGAGCGGCCGGCGACCTCCCTTTGCGGCCTCCCAGATGGGGTCGGAGTAAATGGGGTCGGATGATCGCGCCGCATCGCCGATACATCGGCGATACATCGGCGATGCATGAGCGATGATGCATCGGCGATGCACCGGCGATGCATCATCGACGTCGGCGATGCATCGGCGACGTCGACGTGAAGCAAATCGGGCTGCACATCGAGCCACATCGGCGATGCATCGGCGATGCGGCGCGATCCTCCGACCCCATCTACTCCGACCCCATCTAGGAAGCCTAGACTCCTGGAACCCCTCCTCCACCTCCTCGCGCAGCCAGTCCACCGCGTCCGCGGTCTCCGGGTCCAGGGCGCGCACGGTGGCCTGGAGATCGTTCTGCATGTTTCGGCGGCCAGCTCACCAGGCTAGCTGGTGGGGCGGCCCAGGAGGTGCGAGCCGATAGCCTAACCTTTTCGCGTTGGCGGGCTGGCAATACTTCTGTCCATATCCACTGCAGTACGGAGTTCTGGGCTGCCTTCCCCAGAACCCCGAGGCGCACTGGATATGGATGAGTTTGCCCCCCAGAGGCTCGATCTTTATCCATATCCAGTGCGCCGCGGCCTTGCGGCGCCCCATCCAAGAAAGGCCAAGACGCACTGGATACGGATATCAATCTTGCCCGCAAGCCCCGTGCATGCCCGCGCGCACGGCGCACCCTGTTCGGACCTGCGCAATCAGCACGGTCAGGTTATGCGGGTGCGGGGGTGAGCGCCGGGCCCGATGACCCGGGCCGTCGCCAGACCTCGTGAACGAAACAACCGTCCGTACCTGCGGCCCCGCAGGTCGGGCCCCCTAGGCTGCGACCCCGCGGCGGACACGGAACGCTTTCCCGCGGATGCCCCGCGAGGAACGTCTCCGTGCGACCGCGCATCTGCGAGATCGCGCCCATGAGTCCAGATCGCGAGGGCACGGATACGGACATGCTCGCCGCTCGTGAAGACCCTGAAAAAAAGTCTCCTGACCGCCTCCGAGGGCGCACAGCTCGTACCACAGGGGCATGTGCGGGTGGGTCCAGCCGACGGCGCGGCAACCCTCCCGGAACTCGGCGGCGCTCACCACGCCGCAGCCCTTGAGGTCGAGCCGCACCCGCCACGCGCGGGCCTCGGAGCGTGGCGGACGGAAAAAGACACGGGCGAGCCCAGCAGCGAACGCTGTCCAAAACCGACAGCTGCCTTGAGAGGCCTCCCAACCGGGGTCCGAGTACAGTCGGGGCTGATTGGAGAGGACGCACGAGAGGACACAAGGCGCTTCCGAGGGCAGCATTGCCGTAGGAACGCAGACGGCATGGGTCGCGAAACACAGGACACAAGGGCACCCTTGATTTGACAGGGTCGACCTACTGATCAACCTCGAGTGTATATGGTGTCGGAGGGTCGCGCCGCATCGCCGATGCACTATCGACTAATCGCCGTTGCATCGCCGATGCATCAGCGATACACCGGCGACCTCGGCTATGCATCTGGCGCCCTCGGAGCGGAGCAAATCGGGACCCGCAGCGAGCCGCACCGCCGATGCATCGACGATGCGGCGCGGTCCTCCGACCCCATCTACTCTGGCCCCATCTGGGAGGCCTAGAGCATTCGGCTGGGGGGTCTGAGCTGGATGGGCCCCTAGAAAAAATCGGCCAAGAGGGCCGAGAGGAGGCCAGATCCGCGCAGTATCGGCTCCTGAACCCCTGCCAGGGTCCGCCTGGCGCAGCTTGCCACCCAGGATGCTTCTCTTGCCGTCCAGGGGCTCGAGAACGGCTCCACCAGGAGCCCGACAACGGCGAATATTACTTTGCTCCAAACATCCCCACCGAAACCTTGTGCGCTTGTTCCCGACGGCGCGCGGTCGCCGAATTGGTCGACGACTGCCGCTTCTGGATTCAAAAACGGTTAAACCGTGTTCCATGTAGTCACGTTCTTTCATGTCGTGCTCTATGATTCCGGCTGTTCTCGACGGGCCGGCGTGACGTCGTGACGACTGTGCCATTAGATGCGTCCTCTGTCATGATGTTCCTCTTCACTTATGTCTCTCGTCTGATTGAGTATGTTATGTTATGCTGATCCCTGCCACCATATAGTGTGAAATAAGGTGGTATGATCTGCTCTGTGACACTACGTTCTTAGTATGCACTGTTCCGTGATACTGGTGGGAGCTCGGCTCAGTATAGTATATTATGACCTGCTCTGCCAGTAGGTTTCGCTGTGCTTTGCTGTCGTAGTATGATATGTTAAGTGGTGTTATGAAATGTGTTGCCATGGTGTGTTATGTAATGATTGGGTATGGTATGGTATGCTGTGCTATGTCGTCTTCTGTTACGTCATGGTCTGATCTGGTATGTTAAATGATGTTATGTTGTGCCTTGCTGTGTCATGACATTGCTATGTGCTGTTCTGCCATGGTCTGGCATGATCGTGTTATGCTATGCCATGTTATGCTGTGACATGTTGTGGTATGGCATGGTCTGTTGTCGTAATATGTTATGTTATGCGGTGCTGTGTCATGATATGATATGGTATGTCAACGAATGTTACGTGATGCTCGGCTATGTTCTGCGATGTCGTGCTATGTCGTCTGCCGTTGTGTCATGTTATGCTCTGGTATGTTAGGTGATGTTCTGTCATACTCTACCGTAGTCATGATATTGCCATGTGTTGCTATGTCATGGTAAATCATGCTCTGCTCCGTTCTGTCATGTTATGCTCTGTCATGTTGTGTTCTGTCGTGTTCGTCATGGGCGAGAGGCGGGACCCCCGGGACTCTCTGGAATCATCGTGACAACTTTCGGTCTGGCGGCCGCGGTATGACGGGTGGGTTTGGCTGGGCGAAAGTGAAGGGGCCCTGGGACACACAAATAAATACGCACAAATAAAATGATTCCCCCTATTTTCCCATACTTTCCTGGTTTGTGTCTTTGGCCCCACTTCCCATATTTTCCCATATTTTCCTGGGAATCGGCGATTAATTGTGCCTGTGTGTTTTTTCCCCTCCTGAGAAAGGCGGGACACCTGGGACTCTCGAGGTCATCGGGGCAACTTGGGGTCTGGCGGCCGCGGTATGCAAGGTGGGGTTGGCAGGGCGCGGGGCGGGATGCCAGGGACCATCGGGACAACTTGGGGTTTGGCGGCCGCGGTATGCAGGGTGGGTTTGGCCGGGGGCCTTTTCTTGAAATCTAACAACCCCAACCTGTCGGGTGGGTAAGAGGAGGGGAAGGAGGAGGCAACGACAAGGATAAGGAGGCGGGGCATAGAGAGGAGACGGCGTGACTTCGGGACGCCCGTCGCGTTCGACGCGTCATCGAGTCGGTCATTGCTGCGCCTGTTTGTCCCTGTGGAACCTGACGACGGGGCGGCGCCGAGCAGCGGTGGCTACTGTATACGTGGTGTTCTGCTGTAGTGTGGTTCGTTGGATTCTGCGCCATGTAGTATGTGACACTGTGCTCTATTGTGTTCTGACCTCGACGGGCCGACGTGACCTCGTGACGCCTGGGCGAGGCCGTGGAGTGGTGACTCTGTATATGAGATGTTGTGCGGTAGCGTGCTTGATTGGAATCTGCCGCAATGCAATCTGTGATACGTGTTCTTTGATGTTCTGATCTCGACGGGCCGGCGTGACGTCGTGACGCCTGTCACGTCAGATACGTCGTCGAAACGGTCTGCTCTGCTCTGTGGCACCATGTTAAGACATGATCTGCTCTGTCAGGCTTTGTTATAGCATGAACGGTTCCGTGATGCTGTTGGCGGCTCAGCTCAGTATAGATTAGTCGGAACTGCTCTTTTAGCGTGCTTTGCCATGTCCTGTTCTGTCGTGATGCGATAATCCTCTCCACGACTTCCGTCGCCGTATTCAAAAGTGTTGGAAAATGTTCCATGTGGTAACGGTCTATCATGCTATGTTCTGTTATGACCAGTGATGTCTTCGACGGGCCAGCGTGACGTCGTGACGCCTGGACGACGCAGTGGAGTGGTGGCTACTGTATAGGCGGGGTTGTGCTATAACTTGTTTGGTTGGATCCTGCCCCGATGAAGTATGTGATATTGTGTTCTGTGATGTTGTGATCTCGACGGGCTAGCGTGACGCCGCGACGCCTGTCACGTCCACAATGTCCCACGTAGTAAAGCTCTATCATGTGATGCTCTATTATGTCCTGTTATGTCCTCAACGGGCAGGCGTGACGCCGTGACGAGTGGAGCGGTGGCTACTTCAAACGTGATGTTGTGCTCTAGTGTGAGTGCGTGTGGTAAGATTATGGCACAATGTACTATGTGACACTGTGTCCTGTGATGTTCCGACATCAACGGCCTGGCGTGACGTCGTGACGCTTGTCACGTTAGATACATCGTCGAATCGTTCATTGCTGTGACTGCTGTTCCCTGTGGCCAAGCTGACCAACACGTAAATACGTTACGTTATGTTATGATACCCGTCTGTCCGTCCGCTATCTCTTCCATTGAAGTATGCTTTGTTATGCTCGCTTCTGCCAAAAGGTGCGCTGGTAAATGATGTTATGCTCTGCTCTGCCCTGTGGTACCATGTTAGAACATGATATGGTATGTGCAAATATGCTGTAGCATGCTCTCTTCCGTGATGTTGTTGACGGCTCAACTCAATATAGTATAGTATGAACTGCTTCCTTCCTATGGTGTGCTGTCCTGCTCTATCGTGGTACGCCTCTACACCACTGCACAACTGCCGTCCCTGGATTCACGAACGGTTCAACCGTGTTCCATGTAGTCACGTTATGCCATAGCATGCTTGATGATGTTCTGTTGTGTTGTCGACGGGACGGCGTGACGTCGTGACGCCCGTGACATTATATTCGTCGTCTGGTATGAGGTTCCTCTTCGCTGGTATGGTTCTCTTCTGACTGCGCATGCTATGGTATGACCATCTCTGTGGCACCCTGTTATGGCATGATATGAAATGACGAGATATGTTCTAGAATGCGCTGTTCAATGATGTTGTTGGCAGATCGGCTCAATGTAAAATATTGAATTCCGTGATGCTGTTGGCAGCTCGGCTTACTATTATTATCGAGGTGTGTGATGCAATGCTCGGTTATGATATGGTGTGTTATAACGTATTATGGTATGTCATGGTCTGCGCTGGTATGTCATGTGATGTCATGTTTGTCGACGGCGCGGCTCCGTATAGAAAAGTATGATCTGCTCTGATAACATGTGACGCTATGCTCTGCTGCCGTGTTATGATGTATGCTGTGATGCTGTGTCATGGCATGATCTGTTATGTCAAGGTGATATGTTCATGTTCGGTTATGCGTTGTTACGTTGTGGTCTGTCGTATTGTGTTATGGCGTGCTCTTTCCTGATATGGTATGTGATGGGCAGCTGCGCCATACTTTGGCATGGCATAACTATGTTATGGTCTGCCATGTTCTGTCATGATCGTGTTCTGTTCTGTCATGGTATGCTTTGGTATGCTGTCTTCTGTCGTGTTCGTCGTCGCTATGCTATGCTGTCGTGTTATGGTATGTTCTGTGATTCGGTGTCCTAATATGATCTGGTATGTCAAGGTGTGTTACGTTCTGCTCGGTTATGTTCTCTTATAGTCTACTATGTCGTCGCCTGCCCTGCCATGTTCTGCCCCCAACCCTGTGGTCGGAGGCAGCCCATGGGAGCCTCCCATGACTCTTGCTGGCTCTTGCGAATCGACGCTCTCCGAAGGCAGTTGACGCGAACTCGACGCTCACTCGACGCTGCATCGACGCGAGTCGACGATAAATCAGCGCATTCCCATCGACTGCAAGACGCTGGCGCACGCGAAGGCTTTCTGGAGGCGGAAATGCCAGGACAGAATAGGCCCCCATGATTTTCTAACGAATGTGTGGAACTTTCGACTAGACATGGAAACATGGGTCCACTGAGTGCGCCCATCGCGCCCCGCCATGTGCGGAGCGAGGTTATCTTCGCGCCCTCGCGAGGCCACCCTGGAGAAGAGGGCAGCTCTCTGGCCGAGGCCGCGATGCGCGAGGCGCAATTAGCTTCGCGCCCCTGGGGGTGACTTCGAAAACCGTCCCCACTCCTGGGGGGACAAAAGATACTAATACCGCTAGTCCACGGCTCTCTTCCTGGGCACGTTCTGCCCAAGATTTCGAGGCACATCAAGCCGTGGCGACGAGGGAAAGGTAGCGGCATCAGTACCTCTTCCTCCTCTGAGTCCCACCACCCCTCGGGGGTTAAGCGGTCCAACTATAACTGCATTTCACCCGAAATCGCTCTTTTTATGTCGTCCAAGATGGCCCATGGAAGCCGACGATAAGTCAAGATGGCTTCCGGCATGCCTCCAAGAGGCCCCAAGAGGACCACAAGATGGCTCCAAGTGCTCTTGGAGCCCGCTCAGAACTTCACCAGGACACCCAATGCCTGCAAACATCGATAAAAGGACAGCAATGAGTGATACCTTCTCGCCTGTGCGCTTCCGATACAAATTATTTGAGGCTTCAAGATGGTCCCAAGATGGCCCAAGAGAGCCCCAAGAGAGGCACAGGAGGCCCTCAAGGCGGCCCAAAAGACCGCCCACGAGCGCCCCAAGAGGGCCCCAACGAGGCCCAAAGGGACGATTGTGACGGCTCTTCTTAAGGGGCTAAATTGGAGAACCCCATCTCTCGGGGGCGCGCAAACATGGATTAGCGATCCATGGATTTGGCGCACGATCGCCAAATCCATGGATCCGGGGAGGTGCCCTCCCCAAAATGCGGCCGGTGTCGCCTCCTTGGGCGGCGGAAATCCGCGATTTCCCCTGGAAACGGGACCCGTCGCCAATCCACACCCCCTGGATCCATGTTTGAAATCGTCTCAACTTGGAGAACCCCATCTCTTCTGATCGACGCACTCCAAGATGGCCCCCGAAGGCCTCCATGGCTCCCAAGAGTTCCCTCACAGGGCCCCAAGAAAACCCCAATACCCCACGAAAGAACCCCAGGAGGGCCCCATGACCCTCCAGAATGGCCCCAAGAGGGCCCCATAGGGCCGCGAGAGAACCCCAAGAGTACCCTAAGAGGGCCTCACAAAACGGCTGCCAGAGTCTTCGTCCTCCTCCTCCTACTCCACCTCCTTTTCCTCCTCCTCCTCCTCCTCCTCCTCCTCCTCCTCCTCCTCCTCCATCCTCGTCCTCCTCCTCCTCCTCCATCCTCGTCCTCCCCCAGCGTCCTCCTCCACATCCTCCTCCTCGTCCTCCTCCTCGTCCTTCTCCTCGTCCTCCTCCTCCTCATCGTGCTCATCCTCGTCCTCTTCGTCCGCCTCCTCCTTGTTCTTGCCCTCGTCCTGGGACTGAGCACGCTCATCCAAAGTTTGTTCCACCGCTTGCTTCTGCACTGTCATGATCAAAGCAACCCGCCCGTGCATCGTTTTCGAATGGGCCCGTGGGGATACGTTTTTTTGATTGGCGGTTCCAAGGAAAAGTCCAGGAAGCGGGGCAAGCACGTCTGGGGCACAGGGCGAGACAATTGGTAACGAAGGCGCCAAGGCCAACGTAACAGGTGCACCTGCAAAAAGCAAAATGCCCCTCATTAAGCTGCGAGCCACCCGCGAACAGGAAAGCAAGCACCAGACAGGAATAGACGGAGAGGAGTCGCACAGTGGCGCCAGCTCAAGCCATCCAGCTCACAGAGCACAGGCTGGGGCAGGGCAGCCAAGTGGCAGGACAGTGGGCACGTGAGGCCGCACCGCTCACCACTGGGAGGCGAGAGAGGTAGGAAAGCGCGGGCAGAAGAGGGGTGGCCAGGTAAGCCTCACTCACTTGGACTCCTGGGCGCGATCCGACGTGAGCCAACGACCATTGCACCGACGTCGAAACAGCCGCAGAGTCTGCACCTTGACTGCCTGACCCATGGCGACGGGGGAAACGGCAGCAGGTGTGGCCGAGCACCATGGACCAACCCGTAGGAGAGCATGAGTACAGTCAAAGGATGAACAACTTGAGCAGTACCAGGAGCACGATGATGGCTCCCGCCCAGGGATGAATCACGTTGTCGGCGAAGAGCGCAGGCACCTTACCCCGCACGGTGGACGGGGGGAGCAAGCGGCGTGCGTCAATCGGGGGCCGTGGTGGACCAGAAGGGGGAACGTCGACAAACGAGCAAAGGGTGTACCACTTGCCGTGCGAATTCACTCCAGGTCCAGCCCCCGGTGGTGCCGGGGCAGGCAGGGGCCCGAGCAGCCAGAGCAACACCAGGTGGCACTGCGGCCCGCTCTCACCACGGAGCGCTGCGGGAGATCCGCCAGGTGGTGCATAGACCCGAGTGTTCCACGAGCCTCGGTGGGGGGGAAGTCGTGCGTGGCCGAATCCACAGGAGGAGGAGAGGAGGGGAGGAGGAGACGCAGCCGATAGCCGCAAAAACAGTTGAATGAATGGAGGAGGGGGAGGCGTCGCCACAGTGAGTACTGCGAGACCCAGGCCACTGAGGTCGCACCGCGCGATGCGGAGGACCTCGATTACGGGGGGAACAGGGTGCCTGATGATGTTGGGGGACGCCGCGTCCCAGCTGCAGGGCCGCAGCGTCGGGGGGAAGCACGTGAGGTGCAACGCGTCGGAGTCAGGTGTGGCGCGTGGGGTGGGCCTATGGCCACCATCCCCAGCCTGCCAAAGTAGGTGTCCCAGGGGGGACAAAGTGGGTGTCCCAGTGGTACACGGGTGGTGGGTTATTTCAGCCGTCACCCGCCTACGAAGGGTGCCACGAGACCAGCGTGGGCTGTCTAGTGCATAGCGCATGGGTATTGGTGCACCTCTACCCCGGAAGAGGCGCACGGGGGTATTAAGGCCGAGGCCTGGCGCTGCGGTGAAACCAATCCCTGCCTGGCTGGGGACGCCCATGAGGGATCTGAACTGTAGGGGACTGACCAGCTTCGTACCTCAGTCCACTCATGCCTCGCTGTGCGCAGCAAAGGGCCAGTTGAGGACCATGGGGCTGCCCGTGGGGATACTTTTTTGATTTGCGGCCCGCAAAGAAAAGTCCAGAGGGCGTGTCAATAGGCAGTGGGGCGCAACGCCGGATGATTAGGGATGCAACGAGGAATCGCCCTGACGGCGCCAGCTCACAAGCGGAAAACTGCCACAAACTGCCAACCACAAAGCACGCACAGTGCCTGTACCCGTGCAGCCGCTAGGGCAAAAGCAGCAGGAGGCGGCGAGGGGGGAGAGAAGGGCAGGCGAGGGCGGCGGCGACAAGGGCAGGGGGAAAGGAAACCAGGCCTCACTCACAGAACACCGCACGTGTTCGACGCTCACTCACCGAGCCCTCCTGTGCTCGAGGCTGAAGCCAATGAACCAGGGACCTGAGGACTTGACGTGACGACGAGCGTATTCGAGCGTTGCCCGGGACAGGCGACACAGGCGGCCGAGGACCCAACAGAGCGTTGCCCAGCCCGTGGGGATACGCGAAGCGTCGAGATTTTCGACCGCGCCGGCGGGCCGGGGTGCCGAACTTCGCCTCCAGGTGGTCCTCCAGGGAAGCACCAACCCGGGTCAGCGCAAACCCGAGTCAGTAGAGCCTCCTAGACGGGGTCGGAGCAGGTGGGGTCGGAGGATCGCGCTGCATCCCCGATGCATAGCTGATGCATCGCCGATGCATCGGCGATGCACTGGCAGTGCACCAGCGACGTCAGCGGTGCACGTCGACGTGGAGGGCATCGGCTCCACACCGAGCCGCATCGGCGATGCATCGGCGATGCGGCGCGACCCTCCGACCCCACCTGCTCCGACCCCCGCCAGGAAGCCCGGAGTCGGCCAGATCCACGCCGCAAGCCCAGGCCAGCCACGAGACTTAGGTCGGGCATGTCCCCCTGCAGGCGGATCTCGGGCGAAGGATGAAAGAGAGTCAGGAAATGTTCAAATATAGTCATTGACATGATCGAAAAGTCGTCCCCGGACTATTTTGTTGACTACCTCTGCATATCCCTCCTGTAGATGGACACGCCCGACTTAAATATAGGAGGCCTACAATATTCGGCCTGACCTCAGGAACGATAAACACGGAACAAAGCCCCTATTTTTCCGAGTGAATCTACGAAGTCCGAAAGAACGGACGAGCCCCTTTCTGGCGCCGATCCGCCACGATTTGCCCTTGCGATTCCACCCCCGCCCCTTCTGCCAAACTACCAAGGAGCGCCCGCCCCCTCCTCCCCCGCCGCTCCAACATCCTAAGGCCCCCAACTTCGCGCTTCGCGCCTCGCGCTCCGCGAAGCGCGAATCACTCCGCGCTCTCGCGCCGCCCCCCCAGAGGGAGAAAAGGAGGACCTGGAGGCGGGGGGAAAAGAACGAGGACCGCGACGCGCGAAGCGCGAAGCGCGAAAAAAAACACTCGCGCCCTCGTGGGAGCCCCTGGAGCATCGCACGCAGGAGCGCAGCCTGCTACGCAGAGCCAGCCAGGCCCGCGCCGCGAGCCTGGGGGCCGGCCGCGGGGCAGCGCCGCGCGAGCCCCCCCCGGGGGGGGGAGCGCAGGGTCGGGCTCTGAAGGGGCCCAGGGACACGCAGACACTCCTCCTCCTCCTCCTCCTCCTCCTCCTCCTCCTCCTCCTCCTCCTCCTCCTCATCATCATCATCATCATCATCATCATCATCATCATCATCATCATCATCATCATCATCATCATCATCATGCAGCAGCATCATCATCATCATCATCATCATCATCATCATCATCATCACCACCACCACCACCACCACCACCATCATCATCATCATCATCATCATCATCATCATCAAAATCATCATCAAAACCAGCATCATCATCATATTCATCATCATCATCATCATCATAATCATCATCATCGACATCATCACCATCATCACCATCACCATCATCATCATCATCGTCATCATCTTCATCATCAGCATCATCAGCATCATCATCATCACCATCACCATCACCATCACCATCAGCATCATCATCATCAGCATCATCATCATCATCATCATCATCATCATCATCATCGTCATCATCATCATCATCATCATCATCATCATCATCATCATCATCATCATCATCATCATCATCATCATCATCATCATCATCATCATCATTTCCTTATGCATATTCCAAATCCCTTAGGAATCGACCCCCCCCTCCAAATGCGACCCAATGCTCCAGACCCCCTCTTCGACGGGGCGCCTTGACAAACCGGACCCCCTAGGCTCCAATCCAAAGAAGGCGGCCCAATAAACTGGACCCCCCAATTACAAAAAGGGCGCCTTAAAAATTCTGGACCCAGGGGGCGACTAATTAGGATTCGGAGTAAACAGGCACAAGCCCCAGGATTCCCCATACTTTCCCGAGATGTTCTGGATCTCCGTCCTCCCCACCCCCCTTTCCATAATTTCCCATATATTTTTTCTCCTGGGGGTCGACGACTACTTGTGTCTGCGTGTTTTCCCCTCCTGAGATTTGTGCATCCGGTATCCACACTGCGTCTGGTACTTTCGGGGAAGGGGCGCCGGCAGGCCGCGGCGCAGTGGATGTGGGTAAAAATCCAGGGCTGGACCTAAACGTTGTTTTTCGTTTTGTGCTCGTTTTGTTGCTCGTGTTGCTCTCCCTGTTCTCCTGTACCTCCCTGCCAACACGAGAAGCAAAGCACAGCCGAAGTCCAGCAGAACAGCGTTCAGGTTCAGCCCTGGTTTGTGCATCCGTATCCACTGCGTCTTGGACTTTGTGGGAAGGGGCGGCAGCAGGCCGCGGCGCAGCGGATGTGGATAAAAATCGGGCCTCTGGGGGGCGAACTTGTCGTATCCCTATCCACGGCGCTTCTGGTATCGGAGGAAGGGAGCCCGAAACTCCGAGCCGCAGTGGATAGAACTAAAAATCTTGCCAGCACCAAGCGGCTCCCAAACCCGGGTCAGCCACGGGATCTCGCAGGGGATTGGCTGACCCCCGCCAGCGCGGACTGGTTGGCACAGAGGTGCGAGCCAAAACGATGGCCAACGATCTGGAAAAAGAACAGTGGAGATTATGCCATGAGGCAGAACAGCTTCCCAATTTTGCGGAGGACAGTGGCTTCTGACCCATCGACGTTAGCAGCATCAAGCTGGAAGAGGCTCGACGACCAGTCCAACTTTTGAAGGTGCAGAAAGCGGCTGGGAATGATGGAGTAGCCCCGTGGTCTATGGCACGCGCTATGGAGGAACAGCGCGGCCCTAGAGATATTAAAAGAGCTTTGCGATGATTGCTGGCAGCAGAAAAAAAGACATACTGGCGCACTGGCGAGAAGCTTCAGTTGTATCGAGTTGTTTAAAGGCGACACCTCCGAGCCATCCAACCATAAGCCCATATCTCTGTTATCAGTGGGCTATCAAATTTTGGCCAATATGATCACTATATTGTTGCATCGACTCAAGACTGGAGAAGCGGAAGAACAACTACGAGAATCTCAATATGGATTCCGGCCTGCCTGGGGCACCAGCGATGCACTATTCTTAGTGCGGAGACTCATTGATGCTGCTTTGGAGGACGAACATGAGAAACTCTTCTTGCTGTTGCTAGACTGGAGCAAAGATTTCGATCGTAGAAGACCAGCGGGGCTACTGTGCGCACTCCGCCACTTTCGAATACCACCCGCCATTCTGAACAAGATTGCCGCGATCTATAAGGCGCGCACGTTTGTCGCCAAAGATGGGGCAACCACATCATCGCAAAAGACTCAACAGGCTGGAATTGCACAAGGTTGTCCTGTATCTCGTTACCTGTTCGTAATCGTTATGTCAATCCTCCTTGAGGCCGTCGACAAGGTCTTCCACGCGCAGGCGGGCACCTTCAAGAACAGGCCGTGTGTGGTCACGAATGACGTGCTCTACGCCAACGATACGCTGCTCGTGGCACAGTGTCCTGAGTCACATCAGAGCATCTCCATATCGTGTCAAACATTGGAAACAATTTTGGGCTCGACCTGAACACTAGCAAAACATTGTCACTGAAAATCAGATCGGATGCTACGGTTGTGGGGCCGAATGGAGAAGAAGTCCAATCTAAAGACAACGTTGTTTATCTTGGTGATCTCTTAAGCGCAGATGGTCGGCCCAAGGCTGAGATTACGCGCCTTCTCGGAGAAGCAAAACGGGGCGTCGGACAACTTCGTACTGCCTGGAACCACGCAAACATTACCAAACAGCACAAGCCACGAGTACTGCAGGCTTGCGTCTTCTCCAAGTTATTGCACGGGCTGGAACCTTGCGTGCTATTGCAAGCAGGCAGAAATATAATGAATGGGTTTCAAGCCAAATGCTTTCGCATAATACTGAAGATTCAGCCAACCTTCTGATGATTTATCAGCAATGTGCGCGCCCGGCTTGAAGCACAACCTCGTCAATTGTCAACTATATTGTTGGAGAGACACAGCTAAAATACGATGGTGAATTAGCCAGGGTACCTTCGCAATCGCTGCCGAAAGTTATGGTTTTCCAGAAAGGCGAGGAGCACTCTTTTATGCACGGGAATGGCCGTCCCGAGGCAGACCGCGCTTGCAATGGACCAGCTACATGCACGCCCGCGCGCTGAGAGTCGCAGGAGACGACCCCGACCGCTTGCAGATGCTATTGGATGCTTCTCCACGGGAATGGGACGCAGCTGCCAAATAGACTGTAAACGCTCGGCGTGACTGCGATGGGCTCCCTCGGTCTGCCCATACATGCACTGCGCACGCCAAGCGTGACTGCGATGGGTTCGCCTCCCCCCCTCCCCCTCCCCCTCCCCCGCCCCCGCACCCCCGCCCTCTTCAGACGGAGTGCTGCCGCTCGCCCTCGCGCGCCACTTACGCACAGCTTGCGGGTGGTGGCCGGCCGAGGCTCATATATTTATCCTCGCATGCATGTGCACATCTCCTGCCGGTGCGCCGGCCGGGCGCGGCTCTTTGCTCTTTTCGTTGCTGCTGCTGCTGCTGTTGTGTTGTGTTGTTGTTGTGGTTGTTGCTGTTGTTGTCGCTGTTGCTGTTGTTGTTGTCGTCGTCAGCGCGGACCCCCGCTGCCCAGGGGCCGCCAAGAGGGGGGCCTCCGAGAATGGGGGCTCACAAGTCATGCCCCGAGGCACGCGCGCGGCCCAGGGGGGGCCGAGGGACGCGTACAGTCAGCCTATACAATGAGGATGCGCGGCAAGGGTGCAGGGGCCTTGGAGGCCCATGTGAACGCTTCTCGAACGAGGTTGGCCAGCGAAAGTCGCCAAGGTTGGGCCAGAGGTGCAAGGATGCAAGGGTACCCTTGGGAAGGTTGCCCATACTTCCGGTTGACTGTAGAGTTAGGTCGGGCATGTCCCCCATGCAGGCGGTTTTTGGTGGAAAAATAAAAAATAGTAGCAGTTAAAAAGAATGTTTACACTAATATTCAAGGATATTCCAGAAATCGTCCCCAGACTAGTTCCTGAATATTTTTGACTGTGGAAGGACATACCCGACTCAAGGGTAGAGAGGAGACGAGGGGGCCACGAGATCTGGATGACATCTCCTGGCCCCCGCCACGATA